CTTCCCATCATCAATCAATAATCTTGATGTTAACTCTCTTATCTCTTGTATGAGCTTGTTGAGGCATGAAGATGAAGACTTCTCTTGAAGATGGATTGGACTTGAAGTTGGTTGCAGACTGTTGTTTGTGTTGCTATTTATCTGCTTTGTTGTTGAGCTGTTTGTCTGCTATTTTTTTCTGCTGTGCTTTCTGATTGCTTGACTGTTGCTTATGTGAATGTTTGGTGTGTTGCATTAGACTAGGTCTCATGTAGATGTTTCTAGGCCTAAGAGCATCCTAAAGGTTGATACTAGCTCCCTTTGCTTGTCTACATTAGAGGTTGGCTCCCTCTGCTTGGCTATTATTGCTTGGTTTTGCTTGCTGGCTTAAGGTTGAGTCTGTCTCCCTTGCCTGTGCTTGGTGTGTTGCCTCTGGCTTGCTTGCTCAAGAAGTTGAGCTTGTCTCCTTCTGCTTGTTTGTTGCATTGCATGCATTTTACTTACAGTTATTTCCTTATAGTTATTTCTTTACAGTTTATTTCTTTTGTTGTTGCTTTCTTTTGCCATGTTACCCTAGGAACTCTGACTTCTCTTGTTCAAGAGAAGTTATGACAGACATTAGGGTTCTAACCATGCATAATAACATTAGGTAGTTCCCTCCTAACCTCAACCATAGGATCAATTTTGCATGACAACTTTAGGATTGGATCAGTTCCTCTTTAGTGCGTCTTTTCTCTTCTCATCTTCAAACAAATCAAAATACAGTAATAAAAGTTAATTGACGTCGTACGCTACGAGCCTTAAGCTACTTGAGAAAGGGTTGTTGGAGAGTTTCTTTCCAATAGTCTGGATGTTTAGTATGGTACCCTTTGGGTGACATGCGACGCATTCACTCTCAGGTCATAGTCTCTAGTGCGATATCAGTTGCAAACATCCATAAAAGACACTTCTTCTAAAAAACAGAAAACAAAGATCAAACTCTTTTTGTCCTCTTGGACCTTTAATTCTTGGAAGCCCTTTTCAGAAGGAGAGTTTTGTTACTCCCAGTTTTACCGCAAAAGGTAAACGCCTAAGTCTCCGTCGAGCGAGCTGCATACACCAAACTGCTGGAACCGTCTGTTAACCCTACTCGGATAAAAAAGAAAAACCTGTGTCTCTTTGTCCCGAACTACGTTTGCTCTGATCTTTCGCGTCGTATGAAAGTATGTAGGCACGAGATGCGATATCTCGGCGAGCAACCTTCCCTTGTAACTCGTAGCTAGGTGAACTATGTTGACTCTGATTTCTCATTCCAGACGGGAATACGTAGGCATAGAACTGTTGTGTTCTATCGAGTCATTTTCTTTTCTTTTCAGACCAGACCTTTCGTGTAGATAGATATAACAAACCCGTCAGATAAACACAACAAGCATGGATCCCATCGAGTACGATGGACGTGAGGGGTGCTAATACCTTCCCCTTGCGTAATCGACTCTCAAATCCAGACATTGGTCGCGATGACCTTGTCTTATACCTTTTCGTCAGGTTTTTTCCGATCGTTTTCTTTCCCGTTCTGTGGGATAAATAACAAAAGGTGGCGACTCTTCTGTTTTGCCGGCACCTGATTTTCGCAGTAGCGACATGTGTCTGTTGATCTTTTAGGGTTTTGATGTTTCTAGGTTAAACTATGTTACTACTATGTACTTTTCCTTCTAGCTACTATGTTCTGAAAAGCAATAGATTTCAATATTAATATTTTATGAATGTTTTTGAGCAAGCATGGTTTTTACCTTTTGTTCTACTTTATGCCTTGTTTTTGTTTTTCTGCTATGAAGAATAAAAAGTTAATAAAAGGGGTTAATGAGAAAGACAAAGTCTGAGACTTGGTTTGTCTTCAGTTGATAAAACAATCATGACTTATGTGGTTGACCTTGGAACTAGAAATTTTTTGTTTATTTGTTGCAAACACTTTTTTCTCATGCTTTGTTAATTAAAGTCTGGTTTGAGTAATTCCTGGTTGTACTGTCGTTTTCTTCTTCGAATTGTTATGGAATTTATAAAGTTAGAAACAAGAAAAGTGTTGCTATTAAAGTGTGGTTTGTTATGGGGGAAAGTATAGTGTAGAGGCTGCAGGGTGAGGGTTTTTGGTTAAACGACAAAATTGCATGCAGGTGGGAGGGTTTTTAGTTACTATACTTGTGTTGTAGGGGTTCAAAGAATAAAATGAATTTAATGTAAAGTTTGAGTATTGGTTCTGTTATGGTTGTGCAAAGTGCAAGTTTTTATGCAAATGTTGTGTGTCTTAACTTTGTTCTGAGATTATTTTGGCTGATTATGTCACAGAACAACTAGAATTCATTGTTCTATCTTAAGTACCAGAGATCCGAAGTATCAGGAGAAGTTCAGACCCTACAGACTGAAGTTACAACTATTTATGCCCAACTGACGTTATATCAGGTTTGTGTCGACATCCATCTATAAATTTTGTTGGACTGTTTTTCTGATATTTCTGTATTTGATGTGAATTCCTAGTTTATGTTACTTGTTGCACTAGATGAGCATGTTCTGTGTTAATAGTAAATTAGTAGTTATTGGCAGCAGGAACCCTTTGGTAGGCTAGTTTTTATATGACAAAATGAAACAATTTTGACAAATTGAACACTTTGGGTTACTCTACTGTGTTTCTTTTCTGCTTGTTTTGCTTATACATTTTTTCCATAAATGGTAGTATCCCCGTAAACCCGATGGACAAGGAATGGACAAAGAAAAACCCTGCGAGTAAAGAGTACCAAAATGGTCTTGATTCTTTTCTAGATTATGCATACACCAAAGGAAAACCCCGCGGGAAAGAGATTTTGTGTCCTTGTGCTAATTGTTACAATAACAATTGGTTTACAAGGAATGAAGTACGAAATCATTTAATTGCATTTGGATTTCAAAAGGGATATGACGTTTGGGTTCGACATGGCGAGAAGAAACCGAAACTCGGTGATCTTAATGATAACCATATGAATGAAAAAGAGGATCAAATTGACGATATTGATGGACTATTACATGAAAGATTTAGAGATGTTGTACAAGAATAAAATGATGTAAATGTAAGCCTCAACGAAGATGCAAAAAAGTTCTATAATCTAGTCGAAGAAGCCAAACAAGATTTGTATCCCGGTTGCAAAAGCTGCTCTAAATTGTCATTCACAATTCGTCTTTATTTATTGAAATGTCTTTATGGTTGGAGCAATGTATCATTTGATGCTCTATTAGAGTTGTTGAGAGAAGCTATGCCTTGAACAAAACTAAAGGCATGATAAGGGACTTATGGTTAGATTATAAGAAGATCGATGCTTGCCCTAATGATTGCATGATATATTGGAAAGATCACGAGAATGATACTTCTTGCCATGTTTGTGGTGCTCCACGATGAAATGAAGATGTTAAAGGAAATGATCATGTTGAAAAAAATCATAAGCCTCATAAAGTTCCTTCAAAGGTTTTGAGGCACTTTCCGTTGATTCCTAGACTTCAAAGACTGTTTATGTGTTCAAAGACAGCTATCTCATTAAGGTGGCATGATGAAGAACGTTCGAAAGATAGGAAGTTGAGGCATCCTGTAGACGCAGAAGCATGGAAAGAATTTGATAAATGTCACTCTGAATTTGCTGATGAGCCACGTAATATAAGACTTGGATTGGCCAGCGACGAATTTAATCCATTTAGAACCATGAATTTGTCTTATAGTACTTGGCCTGTGGTATTAATACCATATAACTTTCCACCTTGGTGGTGTATGAAGGCTGAGTATTTTATGTTGTCTTTATTAATCCCTGGACCATTTTCACCAGGGAATAACATTGATGTATACCTTCAACCATTGATAGAAGAGTTGAAAGTGCTATGGGATTTGGGTGTAGAAACATATGATGCATCACGAAGTCAAACTTTCCAAATGCGGGCAGCTTTCTTGTGGACTATTAGTGACTTTCCTGGGTATGCTATGTTGAGTGGGTGGAGTACAAAAGGGAAACTAGCATGTCCTTGTTGTAACTATAACACTAATTCAATATATTTGGATTATAGTAAAAGGTGTGTTATATGGATCATCGTGTTTTTTTGCCTGAGGATCATAAATATAGGTCAAATGCTAGGAATTTCAATGGGAGCATAGAAGATAGGCCACCGCCGGAGTTGTTAACTTGGGAAGAAATCTCAAACAAACTAAATTATGTCAACAATTCTTTTGGGAGGTTCAAAAATAAAAGTAATAATGGTCCATGGAAGAAAAAATCAATATTTTTTTAGTTACCATATTGGAAGCATAATAATTTACGCCACAACCTTGATGTGATGCATATAGAGAAAAACATTTTTGATAGTATAATTGGGACTTTGTTGGATATCCCAGGAAAGACAAAAGATCATAAAAATGCACGTTTAGACTTGAAAGAGATGGGTATTAGAAAGAAACTTCACCCAAATGAGGTAGATCAAGGAAAAAAGTCAGTGTTTGCCAAAGCATGTTTTTCCATGACTACAAAGGAGAAAACTAATTTTTGCTCTATATTGAAAAATGCAAAAATACCTGATGGTTGTGCTTCAAACATTTCAAGATGTGTTCAACTTGATGAAAACAAAGTTAGCGGATACAAGAGCCACGATGCACATTTCATGTTGCATTACTTGCTTCAAGTGGCTGTGAGATGTACAATGCCAAACCAGGTTGCACATCCATTAATCCGTCTTTGTTCATTTTTTCGTTGTTTATATCAGAAGGTGATTGAGGTGGAAGATTTGGATATCTTACAATCTGAGATTGCAGAAACACTTTGCCAACTCGAGACAATTTTCGCCCCGAGTTTCTAGTGAATGAGGTAAGAATGGGAGGACCTGTTCAATTTCGGTGGATGTACTTTCCAGAAAGATATCTAGGAAAATTGAAGAGTTATGTTCGTAATAAAAGTCGTCCTGAGGGTTATTTGGTTGAAGAATGCTTGACATTTTGCTCTCGGTATTTTCATAGTGGTGTTGAAACAAGATTCACTAGAATGACAAGAAATATCGATAGATTTGATCCTCATGAACATGAAAGTCCAAGCTCTTGTCTTAACGTTGGTCATCCTATTGGAGGAAAGAGAAAGGGTGAAGCAATTTCGTTGGATTTCAAGTCAAGGAGTTTAGCCCATCGTTACATCTTATTCAATCATGAAGATGTCCAAAAATTTATAAGGTAAATGAATATACTTGTAGGTTACAATTTCGTAAAAGATTTGTTTTAGAATAACTTTAACAGTATAATTTTAATTGTAGTGAGCATGAAAATTTAAATTCCAACAAGAGAAAGGGATGGAGCAAGGCAAAGAGTCAAGGCTTAGATTTTGTTGAATGGTTTAGGAAGCGTGCATTGTTAAGTGGTGTATCAGGAAACCTTAGGACGCTATCCAGAGGACCAAATAAAATTGCACGAAGTTTTTATGGCTATGTAATTAATGGATATAGGTTTCATACAAAAGGACGTGATGCTAGACGTAAAACACAAAACAGTGGTGTGACACTAGCGGCAATAACTGAAAGTTATTCAAGTACCAAAGATGAAAATCCAATAACACAATCAATAACATACTATAGATTAAATACATAAATAATTGAGGTAGACTACTATGGTAAGTTGAAGTTTGTGTATTTAGATGTGATTGGTTTGAAGTTGAAGAGGAAAAATATGGGATGACTTGTGTTTACTTCAACAAGAGGTGTTATGTGGATGATCCTTTTGTCTTGGCTTCTCAAGTCCACCAAATGCTTCTACATTCAAGATCCTTTTGATGCAAATAAACACTATGTTATGAAGTCTATTCCGAGGGATTTTTTTAACATGAATGAACAATCAAATTCAAATCCCCATCAGCCGTATATTTCTGATCTATCAGATCATGTAGTGAATCTAGCTTCGAGTGATGAAATTTGTGAAGTTGAATTTGTTAGTAATGGCATTCCACCCACAATTGTTGATAATTTTGCATCTGCGCCAAATGTAATAGAATCTGATGACGATTCAAATTTATGACAATTTTTTATGTATGTTAACTTCATCACTATTTGAGAACCAGAAAGTTGTTTCCTGATCTTTTGTTACTATTGTTCTGATGCAGTGATATTATTTTTACTATTGTTAGTCCTGATACTATTGTTAGTGGCTTTGATGCATAACAAATACTATTGTTAGTGGCTCTGATGCAGTGATAGTCTTGATACTATTGTTAGTGGCTGTGATGCATAACAGATACTATTGTAAGTGGCTCTGATGCAGTGACATATCTTAGTAGCAAGATGAATTGATTAAAATTAACTGGTTGATATTGTAATTATCTATTGTATTTCACAGGATTATATGTTGTATGTTATGGCTATATTGTGAAATGTGAATCTACAGTTAAACTCAATGGTGTTGTATGTCTCACACTATGAATTTATAATGTCATGTATGAATTTATTCTCTTGTATTTTCAGTGATATATTATGAATTGTTATGTTTGCAGCACCAGTAGTTAGCAGCAGTAGTAATTAGCAGCAACAGTAATTGTCAAGTTCGTTGAGAAGCATAATTAGCAGCAGCAGTAATTAGCAGCAACAGTAATTGTCAAGTTCTCTTGTATCACTGTATTTACTCAAAGCACTAATTAGCAGCAACAGTAATTCCAATCACCTCTTTAATATCATATGTTCAGTATCTTTTATGTATTTATTGTTCAGTATCACTATATTCACTGATCTTTTATATCATATTGTTAATGTTTTGAGCCCATGAATCATACCTCACAACTGTACAGATCATTGTACAGGTCTTGTATGCTTTTGGTAACAAACTCTGCCCTCTGCTTTTCCATGTAATTGTTTTTACTTCCTGTTGCAGGAAAATGACGAACCATAACGATTTTGTGTTTGATTTCCAAGCTAAGTCTAGCACGGATTTAAAGAGGAAGATGAAAATCAAGGTTGAAAATGAAAAATCTTTAAAAGACAACCCAACAAATCAAGGAAGCAATCCTATAAACATCAATGTTGGAAACATTCAAAAGCTGGACCATCGAAAGAAATTGAAAGTAGAAGTCCCTAAGAAAATGGTTGAGCCACGCAAAGTGTTTGTACCGAATAGTAACATTAGAAGCCAATCGGAAGTAGAAATTTCGAATAAAGTTTCCCAGCCGAGCAACGTGCATGTTCTCAATAGTAATAAGAGGCAAATGGAAGTAGAGGCCACAAAGGAAATTACTGAGCCAAGAAAAGTGCTTGCTCTGAATAATAATACTAAAAAGAAATTGAAGTCAACGGTGGATCATCAAGTTAAAGGTTCAATAGAATCACAAGTCTCAAAGAACACCAGTGATCAAACCAAAAAGGTAATTTATAGTACTTTCTAATTCTAATAATGGGGACAACCTCTTATAGTAATGTATTGATTTCTTAAAGGAATTTTTAATTATTATTGGTTGATATGAAGCTAATTATTCTTTTACATTCAGATTTTGCAAAGCCTTAACAATACTATGAACAAGTCTCAACAATCCTTTGAGAAGAAAAAAAGTCGTCTAAAGTGTCTAACCATGTCCCTTACAGAATGTCTCGATAAAAATAAGGAAAAAAATGGAGTTGAGGAATTCGACTATGAAGATACAGAAGAAAATTAAATGGAAGAATATATGGAGAATGATAGCATCCATAATGGTAAGGAAGTTGAGGGAACAAATGTGAACAAAGCTGAAGGTAATACCTTAGGTACTTCATCCTCAGGATTAACAAAAAAGCGGGGAAAGATGTTATGTCGGAAAATTCATGGACGTCAATTCAAAGATAGACAAGAGATCACCTTAAATGAAGAAGGACAACCAATTGGGCCAGATGAAAAGACAGTGTCTGAACTCAATAGTTTTTTGGGGACACTAGGAAGAAGTTCAGATTTATGTCCTCTCGCTTTCACTAGTTGGATTGATTTGGTTAAGCATTGGGAGGAACACAATTTGGATCCCGTGTGGGATTATGTCAATGTAATTAGTTTTTTATTTGATTCTGTGTTTTTTTAACATACTTTAATGTATATAATATTCTAAATATATATTTTTGCAGAAAAAATACAATATCCCAAAGGAAGGAAATGCTCGCTTAAAAGGAAGCATTTTAGCAAGTGTAAAACCTTGTGCGAGCAGCTAAAAAATCGTCCACAAGAGGTACCAGAAGAAGATTTTAGAAAGTTATTGGAGTATTGGAGAGATGACAAAACTCTAGTAAGTCTACATATGTGCAGTAATGGTCTTAGTTTGAACTGGTAGATAGTATGTAGGAGTAATGGTCTTAGTTTGAACTGTTAGTGAGTTTTGGAATTAGCTAATTGTGTTAATTGAACTGGTAGATAGTATGTAGGACTGTTATGCTGTTAGTACTGTTATGCTGTTATACTGTTATGTTGTTAGTAAATCTAGTTATGTTGTAGTACTGTTATGCTGTTATACTGTTAGTAAATCTAGTTGCTAATTGTTAGAACTGGTAGTAATGGTCTTAGTATGTAGAACTGGTAGGTAGTAAATCTAATTGTTAGTTAATGGTATTTGTATGTAGAACTGTTAGTAGAACTAGTAGAACTGTTATGCTGCTATACTGTTATGCTGTTAGTAAATCTAGTTGCTAATTGTTAGAACTGGTAGTAATGGTCTTTTCATGTAGAACTGGTAGATAGTAAATCTAATTGTTAGTTAATGGTGTTTGTATGTAGAACTGTTAGTAGAACTGGTAGAACTGTTATGCTATTATACTGTTATGCTGTTAGTAAATCTAGTTGTTAATTGTTAGAACTGGTAGTAATGGTCTTTGTATGTAGAACTGTTAGTTAACATATTAATAAGTTATGCTAATTGAAATCCTAATTGATTAGTTATGATGTAGTGTTAGTTAACATATAAATACTGTTAATTAACATATTAATAAGTACTGTTAGTTAACATATTAATAAGTACTGTTAGTTAACATATAAATTACTTTATTTGCTTAGTTAGTTAACATATAAATTAATAAGTACTATTACTTAACATATAAATTATGTTAGTTTGGATTGTTTGAACTGTTATGTTAATTATTTGGAGATTAGAGGTGAGTGAAACAATTGTTAGAAATTGGAAAAGAGTTAGGAAAATAGTTAGTGTATTGGTGTGTTAAAGTGATATGAATGAAATTGGATGGTTGGTTTGTATATTGAAAATGTGTATGTATGGATTCTAAGTGTTGGATATGTGTATGTATGGATATGTGTGTGTATGTAGGAAGTCAGTCATCAAAATGCTGAAAATGTAGCTCAACTGAAATGGAGACATCGAATGGGGAATAAAGGTTTTGTTGTTATAAGAGAAAAAAATGGTATTCTTTTTTAAATTATATTTTAATTGAATATTAAATTGTGTTATTTTATTAATAATCTCATACTCTTGTTTTACTTGGTTTAGCGTGAAAATAATGAAGATAAAGAACCTCCAACTCAAGCTGAAATGTTCATTGCTACTCGACAAAGTAGGAAAGGAAATGAGTTGGATCAAGAAACCAACCATGCAATTGTAAGTTATTATTGTTAAGTGTTATTTCTGTTAGGAGTTTTAGTTAGGAGTGGATCAGACTAGTATATTGTGAGTAATGTTCAAATGACAATTGTCCCTTGCCTTTTATTTACTACTACTATATTATGTATGTTATATAAAACTTCAAGACTTGATTGAAAATCATGGAAAACCTTCTTCAGAAGCTTTTGAAAGCGTATTGGGCAAACAAAAACTTGGGAGATTGCGTTGCCACGGAAGAACCACAACACCGACTCTCTTGAAAAGAAACGAAGAAATTGAAAAAATTAAAAGAGGGCATGCTGCTGAAGTTAGACAATTTAATGACAAGTTACAAGAGATGGAAGAAAAACATCGTCAAGATAAAGAAGAAACTGATAGGAAAATTCAGGTTCTTCTTAAGACTGTTTTGAATCAAAATACCTCCGAGTTGAATATAGAGGCTTTGGCAGCTTTGATATCAACTCCTGCAACTGGTGCTAACAGTGTCTTACGTTCTTCTACATCAACACATGCTCCAACTAATGATCAAGTAAGATTTGTTACATTCCTATGTTTTAAGGGATTTTATATATGTGGATTATTTACTTGGAGTGGATTATTTTATTTTTGGTCCTTCGAATAATAATCTTATTTAAGTTATATTATTTTTATTTTGCAGGTCATGAATGATAATATCAATGAAGATTTTGAATTTGAAGATAAAGAAACGTAGATGTAGAGATGTAGATGTTTAAGTTTAATTTTATAGATTAAAGATGCTATTTTGACTATGAATGATGATTGACATTGGGATTGATATGTAATTTGAAGTTGTTTTGTTGACACTACGATATGTAATTTGAAGATGTTTTGTTGATTGTGAATCAATGTTTGACATTATAATATTTAAATGGATTATGTCATGTATTTTTTTTATATGCAAGATCAGGTTTATAAAAAAATTGAAAATGTTTTTTCTTAAAATGTTTTGTTGGATCATTTTCAATTTGAAGATGTTTTGTATTTGAATATTATTATATAAAAAATTGTGAATGATGTTATTATCAGGTTTATAAAATAAAATAAAAAATTATTTTATTAAAAAATAAATAAATTTATTTGGTTTATAAAATAAAATAAATTTTTTTGCAATAGTTACAAAGTGTGTCTGTAGTAAAGAAGGCGTTGCTATAACCTATGAAGAAAAAATGAACATAAGCCTCTATTAGAATGGTTTAGAATAGGCTACGGCTAAGAACCGTTGCTATATTCCATAAAATAGTTGTTTTCTAATAAACAACAATTGCAACGGTTTAAATTTGAAAACGGCGTCCAGCCGTTGCTGTTCCAGACTGTTCTCTATATAAAATTACAGCAACGGCTCTGAACAAGGCGTTCCCGTAGGCTAAATAACTGTTCCTAAAGGCTAAAACAACGCCTTGGTTTAGAACGTCCTAAAAATCGTTCTCATATGTAAAGGCAATAGCCTTTTTGGATTTTGCAACGGTTTTTTTGTGTTGCTGTATATTCAAAATGTTGTTGTGAGACCATAACCAAGGAATCAGTAAGGGGAACTTCTAAATTTCCTCTAGATGGAAGAAGAGGTTGTGGTGAATGTCAGGTTGGCAGGCAAGCCAAGATAACATATCCAAAAAGGGGACATCGCAGAAACCTGGACCTGTTATACTGGAATCTGATGAGGTCCATGACAAATAATCAGCATAAAGGAAACAATGTCACTCATGATGTCATGACATTATTCTGTGACACTCACAGTAACTTAAATATGAACTCCATTCAATTCAAGAGAACCATGCACATGGATGACATGGATCAATTTGAAAAGGATTGTGTGAAGCGTGGTGATTCTGACCAACAAAGGGCTAACACGGTGACAAGAAATCTCACGGATATCAATGATGAAGAAGACACGCAAATCCACTCCATCATTGCCAACTTGGTTACTAGGGTTCTGATTTAGCCAAATGATGTGCCAAGAATATCCATTCCCCCTAGCACTAAGGAAGAAGCTGATGTCACTCACAATGTTGAAACCTTGGAAGCAACCTCTCCAAAGGACAATAACAAGGATCAAGCCTCTGAAGACAATGAACACATGCTAAGTGAAGAAAATGATGCTAATGAGTCTTGAGACAATGAGTTGATAGCCACAGTCAACCCTAGCATAGCCAAAAGGCTCATGACTAGGAAAGGGAAGAAGGAAGTTGTCCAGAGTAACCCCAAGAAGAAGACTGTGACAAAAAGAACTCAGGTTGGCCCTACCAAAGCTTGGAGCAAGGTAGTACCAAAGAAGAGGAAAGCTAAAACAAGTACAGAATCAGATTCTGATGTTGCCTGTGATGCCACTGACATCCAACCAAAGAAGAAACCAACAACTAGCAAGCTTGATGCTAGTGTCCCAGATGCTCCTATTGACAATGTCTCATTCAACTATCCATCAAGTGTCAACAGATGGAAGTATGTCTATCAAAAGAGGCTGGCCTTGGAGAGAGAGCTATCTCAAAATGCTCTTGAAAGCAAGGAGATCATGGCATTTATCCATGATGCTGGTTTGGTGAAGACTGTGACTCAGTTCTCACAATGCTATGATACACTTGTCAAGGAATTCATAGTAAATCTATCAGATGAATGTGCTGACAGAAAATCTGTTGAATTTGGTAAAGTTTATGTTAGAGGAAAATGTGTCATCTTCTCCTCCATTACCAATAACAACTACCTTGGAAGATCAGATGGAGCTCAATCTGATATAACTGCCTCTGACAACAAAGAGTGTCAAGTAATTACTGGCAACTAAGTCAAAAGTTGGCCAGCAAAAGGAATGTTAGTTGCCAGCAAACTAAGTGTAAAATATGTTGTGCTACACAAGAGTGGTGCTGCAAATTGGGTGCCCACTAATCATAAATCAACAGTGGCAACTATTTTGGAAAGGTTTATCTATGCTGTTGGGACCAAGACCAAAACTAATTATGGTGCTTACATATTTGATCAGACCATAAAGCATGCAGGAAGTTATAGTGTCAAAGGCCTTATTGCATTTCCCTCACTCATCTGTGGCATTATATTGAATTAGTATCCCAACATCCTCAAAGAGAATGATTCTGCAAGCAAGAGAGAGAATCATATGTCATTCCATCACAAGCTGTTTCAAGGAACACATGTTCCAGACATTGTCATGACATCAGCTGAACCATCTAAGAGGAGTGCCAAGACAAGAAAACTTGAGGTGATTGCAATGCTCAAAGAAACTTGCAATGAGTTGGCCACAAGGAAGAAAAATATTGAAAATTTAATCAAGTCCCTTGAACAGGATGAGGATCCTAAATTCACTGACTCTGATGGAGAGAAAAAGGATGATGGTTCAAGAGAGGATGGTGACCAGGATGCTGCATCAGAAGAAGCTGATGACAGGTCTGAAGAAGCCAGTAATGAAGATGCTGAATAAGCTAGTTTCAGTTCTGCCTCTGAGGAGGAAGAATAATGTGTGCCGATAGACTGCTGTGGGGCTCAGTTTACTGGTTGCTGAGCTAATGAAATGTGCTGCTGGTTTGAATAATTTTTTCTAGATTTGTGTTTTTGTAACAGCAGGATAATTTGTGATGCTCTTCA